TGGGGTGGCTTGGGAGAGCTTGTCCTCATCCCAGTGCTATCCTACATCAGCTCAATTATCACAATTTGTTTTTTAGTAATTACAGCTAGTCTTTTAAGGCATTTTTAAGGATTTTAAATTAAGATGGTGGTATTTAAGGCAAAACCCGGGAGGGGGGGGGGGTTGCAGAAGAAGAGGGAGGTGGAGCGGGTGCAGGCTGCTTCTCCTTTCCCCACCCTCTCTGCTGGTCTCTGGGGACACACTGACCATCACGGGGACATAAGGACACCCTCCATGGTCAGGCACGTCTCCATCCCTCCAGCTCAAAGCAGAGAAGAGCCCCCAAGAGCTGCCATTCCCAGGGGAGCCCTTGCTGGTGATTTTTGGCACTGGGAAAGCTCCCAGAGAAGCCCCATCCCAGCTGGGAAGAGGGAGCATGATTTGGGAACACCGCTCCTTCAAAACTGGAGTCACCATCCCTGGAGGTATTTAAGAAACGCATAGACGTGGCTCTTCAGGTCAAGCTCTAGTGCCCAGGGTTATTGGTTTATGGCGAGGTGTTGAATGTGGGGTTTAGTTGGTGGGTGCGGTGTTTTTGGTGGGCGTTTGGTGTGGTGTGGTTTTTTGGTTTTTTTTTTGGTTTTTTCTTTTTTTTTTTTTTGTGGTTGGACTCAATGATCTCAGAGGTCCCTTCCAACCACTAAGATTCTGTGATTCTGTGAGATCTCCTCAGGGTTGGGGGAAGCAGGACCAGCCCAAGTGCTCCAAGCAGGGCTTTTTCTCCACGTACGACTGGATGGTCCTTGTGAGAAGCAAAGAGAGATTTCAGGTACCTTCCTGTGGGGGCAGAGGCACCCAATGGAAAGGCTTTGGTGGTGTCCTCTAACTCCAAATATCTTCACCAGGTTTCACAGCCTGGCTGTCAGCTGTAAGGAATAGAAGCTGGGGTGTAGCTTTGGGCTGTGGTGGCCATTCACAGCACCTGGCAAACATCGTTAAAAACAGCTGCTCCTTCAGTTTCCTCCTGCTCCCAGGCAGGTTGAGAAGTCAGGGACAACCACCCTTAGATGTCATATCCTTAGGTCCTCCGGCTGCTCTTCAAAGCCTCAAGGGTGTCCCACAGTGTGGGTTGGTGGCCCGAGGACTTCTCTGCTTCCTTCTTCACCATGACCGAACGGAGCCATCGCGGAGCTTCTTGGAAGCCTGGCCAGGTATCTGCCCTGGGGTTCACCCACCCACCCCCTTGCAGCCATATGGTCTCCTCAGCCTCAACCTGCTCTGGGTGGACCTGCTTTGGTGGGGGGGGTGGACTAGATGATCTCCAGAGGTCCCTTCCAACCCCATATCATTCTGTGATTTTTCTGCACAGTCCCACCTCAGGTCTGATTTGGGGGGGGGGATCCGTGGGGGTCTAAGATTTGTTGATCCCCTTCTCCTACTTGTAAGCATATAATCTCTGGAGGCTTTATTTTGGAGGCTCTGTACCCTCACTCAGCTGGAGGAGATGGTATTTTGGGAGATGGAGGCTTGCAAAGGAGATGTAGGGCTGTCTGAAAGCCAAAAGCTTGACTTTACCTTCTCTCCAAAGAGAGTTTTTTAGTCTGTGACTGAGGATTCCATCTCTTTCTGGACACCAAAAATAGCAGGATCCTCCCTGCTCCTGGAGCTGGGCTTGGTTTTTCCTGCCTGAGCGTGGCAGGGAGATGTTGCTCTCCTGGGCTGTGGGGTGGAAGGTGGGATGACAAAGAGGAAGGCAGCAGCAAAACAACCCCTCCCAGGGTTGTTTACAGGCTGCCCAGGGAGGTGGTTGAGTCCCCATCCCTGAATGTGTTGAAGAGTCGTTTAGATGTGGTGTTGGGGATATGGTGTAGGGGAGAACTTTGTAGAGTGGGGTTGATGGTTGGACTCGATGATCCCAAGGGTCTTTTCCAACCTGAGTGATTCTAAGATGGACAGAGTCTCATGAGATGTGAGACGTGGCAGCTCAGGACCCACAGAGCTGGACGGGATGGACTCGGCTGGTGATTTTTGGCCATGGATGGTTGATGAGAGAGAGTGGAAGACATTAAAGCACTCGGCTACAGGTGAGTCCAGCTTTGCTTTCAGTTGGCCATAAAACTGTTGTGGTCAGGTAGTGCTTTGTCTAAGCAAAGGGCAGAAACTCAGCTCTGGAAGAGCGTCCAGACTTCGCTTTCCCTTGGCCCCTTTCCCCCCAGGCCCCTCCTGCTCACCCCACACGGGGTTCTAGAGGTGTGCGGGGCCAGCGGGTGGTGGTGGCCACGATGCCACCTGCTCCTGCTGAAGATGCAATCCCAACCAGAGCAGAGTGGGTTTAACAAAGGCAGGGATGTGAAAATAAAAGGGATGAGAGACTTTTTATTTTGTATTTTAAGCCACAGCTGCAGACCCCTCCATCAGGATGGGAGAACCTCCTTCCATGCCTGGTCTGACCGATCATAGCCCTATGGCCACCTCCTCACCCTTCTGCGCTGCTCCTCAAGGAGCTACTTGGCTCCTCTCCTGGGGTCCATCTGGTGTGCACGGAGCCATCCGAGCACTGAAATCAGAGTCATAGAATGGTTAGAGCTGGAGGGGACCTTAAAGATCATGGAGTTCCAACCCCCTGCCCTGGGCAGGGACACCTCCCACCAGACCAGGTTGCTCCAAGTCCCCTCCAACCTGGCCTTGAACCCCTCCAGGGATGGGGCAGCCACAGCTTCTCTGCTCCCATGCCTGGACTGACCGATTGTAGCCCCATGGCCACCTCCTCACCCTTCTGTGCTGCTCCTCAAGGAGCCACTTGGCTCCTCTCCTGGGGTCCATCTGGTGTGCACGGAGCCATCCGAGCACTGAAATCAGTCATAGAATGGTTAGAGTTGGAAGGGACCTTCAAGATCATCCAGTTCCAACCCCCCTGCCCTGGGCAGGGACACCTCCCACCAGACCAGGTTGCTCCAAGCCCCATCCAGCCTGGCCTTGAACCCCTCCAGGGATGGGGCAGCCACAGCTTCTCTGGGCAACCTCTTCCAGTGTCTCACCACCCTCACAGCAAAGAATTTCTTTCTGGTATCTCATCTAAATCTCCCCTCTTCCAATTTAAAACCGTTCCCCCTTGTCCTGTCACTGCACTCCCTGACAAAGAGTCCCTCCCCAGCTCTCCTGGAGCTCCCTTCAGATATTGGAAGGCCGCTCTGAGGTCTCCCTGGAGCCTTCTCTTCTCCAGGCTGAACAACCCCAGCTCCCTCAGCCTGTCTTCATAGGAGAGGTGCTCCAGCCCTCTGATCATCTTTGTGGCCCTCCACTGGACCCATTCCAACAGGTCCATGTCCTTCCTGTGCTGAGGACTCCAGAGCTGGACACAGTGCTCCAGGTGGGGTCTCACCAGAGCAGAGTAGGGAGGTAGAATCATCTCCCATGACCTGCTGGAGCCAGGCTTCTCTTGATGTGGGTGGCTCTCTGGGCTGCCAGTGCATGTTGCCAACTCATGTTGAGCTTCCCATCCATGAGCTCTTCCAAGTCCCCCTCCTCAGGGCTGCTCTCCAGCCATTCTCCACCCAACCTGTATTTGTGCCTGGGATTGCCACATCCCAGGTGCAGGACCTTGCACTTGGCTTGGTTGAACTTCATGTGATGTGCATGAACCCACCTCTCCAGCCTGAAACACGGCTGCTGCCCGAGCACAAAGTATAATTACAATTTCCCTTCCGATTGCTGACGTGGGTTTGCTTTGGTTACTGTTGTGTCTTCACGTGTGATGACGGGAGCAGCCACCCATCACCACGGGCTGAGCTGGGGAAGGGCAAAGCCAGTCTCCCTGTGGCTCTTTAGCTTGAAAAAAATTCAGCTTTTATTCTGTTAACTCTTTGCTTCTGCGTCCCGAAGATGCTTTAGCCTGAGCTCTGCTAAGGCTGCTGGTGAGCGGGAAAGGGTAATTTTGCACATGGGGACGCTGAGCAGAAGCTGCTTTTAGCAGCTCCAGGCGCCCCATTAATTAAATCAGCAGATTCTGCAGGGCCTCCCTCCGGCGCTGCCGTGTGCCCTCGGGCACAGCCAGGCGGCCGCTGCCGGCCCAAAAACCAACCCCGGCTGATGAGATGCAGAGAGGCTGCTTAGAAAACATTGCTTCCCCCAGGTGGGTTTTTAATTGAATAGTCAGGGTTTGGGTTAGCTCTGCTTCTCTGGGCTTAGCCCTGAGTAATTGGGATGGGGAAAAAAGAGAGAGAGATACAGACCCTCTTTTTTTTTTTTTTTAATCACAGGCAATTTTAAAGCAGGTAGGATTTGAAACTCATGGTCATACCTGTCCTTCCAGAAGGTGGGTGGACCAGCACAGACAGGGCTTGTTCTCTCCCCGCAGTGTCTCTTGCTCAGGGCTGCTCCACTTGTTCCAAATATTAAAAAAAACCACCCAAAATCTCAAAAAATATACTTGAGTGGTGAGAGGTGCAATGGGTCTGAGGGACTTGCAAAGTGTAGGGCTGCAAAATGCAGAGAGAGGAGCTTCAAAAGCATGCTGGTGATTAAAAAAAAATCCAAACCCCTTATTTTTAGGCAATTAAAAGTATTGTTGGTAGGTCCACTGTACTTATTTCTGCCCCCTTTTGGCTGAACCTGGGCTAAAGGGGGGTGCCCCCAGGGCTGGCAGCTCAGGGTGGGTTTCCTGAAGGTCTTTGATAAAGGCACCAGAGGGTTCTTTGGGTCTGACCGGTATTTTTTAATAGCACCACTTGGGCCATGAAATCCTGGAAATAATTAACACAAACAAAAAAAAAACCCTTTGCTGCTGGTCATTTCCTTAAAACTCCTTGTGCTTTTGGCTGTGGATGAGCATTTAAAGTGGGCTCCAAGTGGCAAAACCTGATGGGAATTCAAAAAAACATATATTTTCTTTATACCTCCCTACCTACGGTCTCAAAAAAAAGATTTAAGAAATAAAATAACTCCGGTAATGCTCTCAAACGTGATCTCACATGCGTGTGTCTGTAAGTGTGTAACAGCAGTGCCTCTGTCTTGTGTTGCAGCACCTACGGGGAGCTGACCAACTGCACGGCGCTCATCGCCGAGCGGCTCGACTGCTACTGGCCCAACCGCCTGGTGGACGAGTTCTTCGTGGCCGTGCACAGGCAATACTTCAAGAACTGCTCTCCCTCGGGCCGGGCGCTGCACGACCCCCCCAACGGCGTCCTCTGCCCCTTCATCCTGCTGCCCGTCCTCGTCACCCTCCTCATGACGGCGCTGGTGGTGTGGAGGAGCAAACGCAGCGAGGGCATCGTCTAGGGGACGCCCCGCCGCCGGCGTGGGGCAGGGATGGGGTGTCCCCACCCCAAAAGCAGACGTTTTGGGAGGACACTGGCAGAGGAGCAGCCCGGGGAGGGTACCAAGGCAGAGACAGTACCCCCTGCCCAGTGGTTTCCAAATAAATCTGTCATTTAAGACTCATTTGGCACTTGGGGGGATGCCCCACCGTTGGGGAGCCCTCTTGGGGGTACCAGGGAACACAGCTCCCCTCGGCATCGGTGCTGCCACCATCTCTCCCATCTGTTTCCCTCCTGGCACCCCTACAGCCTTGCATTTTGCCAAAAGAAGAAATTTTTAAAAAAAAATAAAGAAAAAGGGTCAGGGATGAGGGGTTTGGAGTCCTGCTGGCCCCATGGTGATGGCACAGCATCAGGAGGTGGAGGTGGGTGTAACCCCCCCGGGTGATGGAACCATCACAGCTTTCTCTTTTGGTCCTTTGTTGTTTTTTTTCTCCACAGCAGGAAAAGGCATCTCATCCCCTGGCCCCCAGCACAAGGCCGAGGTGTGCATGGGGTGGGTTTGTCTGGGAGGTGGGGAGCGATGGGTACAAACTGGTGGTGGGAGCTGGTAGCACCCAGGGGTGGCACCAGTGGTGGCCTTGGCGGTGCTCTGGGCTAACGAGCAACAGGAATAAGGTGCATTTCCTACCTAATAAATACATAAACAAACAGGTGCCCGTCTCTGGTCTGCAGATACTCCAAACCCACCTGGACACCACTCTGGGTGACCCTGCTCTGGCAGGGGGTTGGAGTAGATGACCTCCAGAGGTCCCTTCCAACCCCTACCAGTCTGTGATTCTGTGACACCCAGCCACCCACCTGGCCCACCCTGGGCTGGCAGGTCCCAGCTCCCCTTCCTCTTCCAGGACACTCCAGCCTTTTATTCCTTTGCCATTTGATATGGGGTTGGAGTCCTGCTGGCCCCACGGTGATGGCACAGCGTCGGGAGGTGGAGGTGGGTGTAACCCCCCCGGGTGATGGAACCATCACAGCTTTCTCTTTTGGTCCTTTGTTGTTTTTTTTCTCCACAGCAGGAAAAGGCATCTCATCCCCTGGCCCCCAGCACAAGGCCGAGGTGTGCATGGGGTGGGTTTGTCTGGGAGGTGGGGAGCGATGGGTACAAACTGGTGGTGGGAGCTGGTAGCACCCAGGGGTGGCACCAGTGGTGGCCTTGGCGGTGCTCTGGGCTAACGAGCAACAGGAATAAGGTGCATTTCCTACCTAAATAAATAAATACATAAATAAATAGAGCCCATCTCTGGTCTACAGATATTCCAAACCCACCTGGACACCACTCTGGGTGATAAATACATAAACAAACAGGTGCCCGTCTCTGGTCTGCAGATACTCCAAACCCACCTGGACACCACTCTGGGTGACCCTGCTCTGGCAGGGGGTTGGAGTAGATGACCTCCAGAGGTCCCTTCCAACCCCTACCAGTCTGTGATTCTGTGACACCCAGCCACCCACCTGGCCCACCCTGGGCTGGCAGGTCCCAGCTCCCCTTCCTCTTCCAGGACACTCCAGCCTTTTATTCCTTTGCCATTTGATATTTGGGGCTTTTTTTTTCAGGGGCAGGTGAACAATTAATTAAAAAAAACAAACAAAACAACAAATCAGCATAATTTGATGGAGAGCACTCAGGTCTCTGCCTGACTACGGTCAGACTACGGTCACTGCCACCAGGAAGAGTGGAAGAGCCTTTCTGGAAGATGGCTACCTGCCTAGGGTAAAAATGAATTAAAACACCCCAAAACAACACCAAACAACCCAAAACTACCAACCACAAGAAAAAAGCAGCCGGTTGTTCCAAAATTATGGAATTACAGAAGCCAATCCCCACACAACTGCTATCTGCTGGTGAGCCTCTATCCACTGACCGGCCACAGGGGAAGGTGACAGTTTGGGGACATATAGGACAGTTTGCCTTCTGCTGTCACAGGGGTCCATCCATGAGCGTGTGGGATGGAGACAAGCTCCCCGTGAGATTTCTCTAGTGTTTTGGCCACTGAGTGCCTCGCTGAGAGGTGGAAATGGAGAGAGGCTGGAAAGAGCAGCAAGGGAGGGTGACAGTTTGGGGACATAGAGGACAGTTTTGCCTTCTGCCCTCACAGGGGTCCATCCATGAGCGTGTGGGATGGAGACAAGCTCCCCGTGAGATTTCTCTAGTGTTTTGGCCACGTGCAGTGAACCATGGCCCCCCTGGCACCCAGCTTAGTGCCTCGCTGGGAGGTGGAAATGGAGAGTGGCTGGAAAGAGCAGAGAAGAGTTGTATCTATTCAAATATATATCTAAATATACATATATAAATACATATAAAATAAATATAATTTTTAAAAAATATCTCCCAGTTCCTCATGCTCAGGAAAAAAATAATTGCTGGGAGGTGGGGACTGGCTTTGGTGACAGCCCAGGAAGCAGGGACTTTGTCCCTTTTTGCATCTTCGTTAAGGCAAACCAGTTCAGCATTTTCAGCTTGAAAATAACAGAATTGTTCTGATTCAATACATAAAAACTGGACATACTTTCCAACCTCTCTATTTTTGTGAGTGCTTTATTCCTTACCTTAACCAACATTACTATTTTGGCAGCAAAGCTCCCTCACCGCAGTCACCTGCTTAAGATAGCGTTCCGTTTTACATACACCCAGAGATGTTATCCCAAAAATGAAGCTCACGATGAGGCTCTCCTTCTGCATGTCACTTCCCTGCTGCCCTAGACCTCTGGTAACACCTACAGGAACCTGTGAAGCTGGAAGGGAAAAGGCACAGGGAAAACTTAACAGCCAAAGTTGCACCGTGCTTAAAATCTGCAAACCCAGCTCTGGAGGTGGTTTTGGTTTCCTTCTGAGGTTGCAGAGGAAAGAACGAAGCATCATCCTTCAAGGGGATAAAAAAACCCAACAGTCAACACCCGAGCATCACACACGCACACACTTGCTCCATATGAAACCACACGAACGTTTATTTCTATGGTTTATCTATTTATAAAAGCTTCAATGTGTTCCATTGTACCTCCTCTCACGGGATTTCCACCACCAAAACACCTTGTGGTCTCCGAGGCTGCGCCAACGTCCCCCCGGGGTGCTCCTCAGGGGGTTTCCTCTGCAGTGATTCCTGGGGTACACACCCCTCTCTCCTGAAGGATCTCTGCGTTGGATACACAGCTACTTACAGAAAAGGCCATTTATAGCATCCCACCCTTTCAAATCAGCAAAAAACCAGGTGCCTGTTGGGTGTTTCAAGGAGGGGGCAGCACATTTTTACTCTCAGCTGCGTTATTAGTCGCTCCCTCTCAGTGCAGAATTGTGGAGAACACAATTAGGTGTTCTCCAGGTAATTTATGGTGCTTGAATTTATTTTCATCAGATCAAACAGCATCTGATGCTCCCTCACCACATCCAGATCAGAAAGCCAAAGGCAGATTTCTTTTTAAAAAAAAAAATCTCCCTTTCATTAAATTTTCACAGAAATATATAATATATATTATATATATATATAATTTTACTAATACTACACATTTAATTAAGTTACAGGTTAGCCTATATTTCTTTTAACTACTTCACACAATGAATAGAAACAAAAAAAAATACTGTCGCCCAAACCAGAGCTGAAAATAACAATGTAAAAATTCCAAACGTGTGACAAAAAAACATACTTACATTAAATATAATCAAGAATTGCAATATCAGAAGTAGAATTCCATTTCGTGCTTGCATTCTGGCAAGCTCTAAGCCTCAGCTGAAGGACTCTTGGAAAAGGCTCCTATTGTTTCTGCTCATCAAAGGCAACAGTATTATGATTTGGTTCACAGGAGACCATTTTATTGCCAACTTGAAGTGTTCCAAAAAACACACCACCTTTTCTGGTTTCTTCCTTTTTTTTTTTTTTTTTTTTTTTTTTTTTTTTTTTCTTCATTCCCCCCTCCAAACTAAGCAAGAGTTTAAAAAAAGTGTAATTACAATTTCAATAGTGATTTCTTTTAACTTCTCAAGCATATCTCATCAACAGGATATACAGTACAGTTCAGAAGAGTAAACATTTTTTTAAAAGTAAGCAAACAACTTTTTCAACCAACATACACAATTTCTTGCTGTATTTATGCTCAACTCTCCTTTTAACATGGACAAGTTATGAAGTTAGTTTTCTTCTTCAGTACAACATGGACACAGGACTAGTACAATCCGGGCTGGTTTTGTTGTTGTTGTTGTTTGTTGTTGTTGAAGTTAAGGACAACTCTAGTATGGAAGCCATGGTTCTGCCATTCATCTCCCTTCATCATCTCGCATAGCGCTTAATGTAATCTTCAACTTTATTCCGAAAGTCCTCCTAGAGGAAAGCACAGTCAGAGTTACCCCGAGCTTGTCAGACACTCGTGTAGGACTATGGTGGTGGTGGCATTCCCAAATTAGCATCGGGAGGGTCACATTTCCATCGAGTCAAAGTCCTGCTGCTCTCCCCAAGACCCAGCACACATTTCCAACACAGTCCTTGTTAAGCAGGTATCTGCACTCCACGGGGTATCTCCTCTGGAGACCAAGCTGGACAAAGAGTTGGCCATTGCCCACTATCAACGTCGGTGCAAACAGAGCGTGTCGTTTATTACAGCCTAGAGAATTAAAAGCTCATCATCCAAGTCACTCGTTTGTTGAAGTGGTTCAGAGGGAATGCGCTTCCCTATAGCCCTCCACAGAAAACCTATGGAACTATTATATATATATAGAGAACCTCTGTATCTATGGACACACATTTCACAGATGCTGAGTGAAATTCCAACAAACCCTCCTCATTTGATCCTCGTCCAAGCCGGGATGCCAAGAGAGATGCTACCCCCCTCTGAGGTTATTCTGAGCCTGAACCCTGCCCCGCGCGCCTACAGCCTGGGATTAGATGTGTCCAACACAACCACACTGAGTGGCTTCTGCTCCAAAAGAAATGTGGGTTTCCCCCATGTCTTGATCAGCATTTAACTAAATTTAGCACTAAAACTTCTGCTAGCCATCACATCACAGCAGAATAAAGCAGTAATATGGCCTTTTTGCAATAGCTAGCCTTGGAACGCATCAGTATTTCCTTGCATCCAACACAACACTTCAAACAGCTCCTGATCACTCCCTTTATGATGGTGTGGTTTTCTGCCAGAGTTTTTTCTATCAACAAAGGGGTAAAGGCCATCTCGTGGTTAAAGTCCCAAATCCAGGGGTAAAAGAAGAACTACGATCCCTCAGAAACGCTGATTTCATTTTCTATCTGACAAAGCGTGTCGCAGAGATGTCCGTGAACTATAAGCAAAGTGCTCTGAATCTCAAAAGAAGTCTGACACACAGTTTTAAGGCCAAAAATATCAGAGCTGGGGAAACAAAAATACACAGTGCACTTCAGGGAAGAAAACACCCACCACTAATGGCTCTTCTCAAGAGAGGAGAAATGAAAACAGAGAGCACAGACTGCGATCCTCCACGACTGGAAATCACTGTAAGATGTTTGACATCTCGGCATCGGGCAGTAGGAGCAGCCCTGAGACAACTGATCCCTAACAGAAACCAACTCTTGGTGGCTGCAGAAATCCCCTTCCTCCTCAGAGACAGGCTGCTTGCACTTCAGGAGAAAGGAGCAGCTATTCTGGTACAACGTGACACCTGCTAAAGGCAATATTCTGTGTGGTGACTTTTGAACCCTGCTGCAAACACACCCATTTCCGTGCTCACACAATTAAGTGGGTGAAGAACCCAGCACTCCAGAGCTAATACCACCTTCATTTTAAATAAGATTTCAGGTACTAGGCAACTTCAATCCTTTGATGACAGTTCTGGTAGCTGAGTATCGCATTAAAGTGGTTTTGAGTAATTACTTATAAACAACATGTCTGTTAGAGTGGTTCCCAGATCTTGGGCTTCCTCGGGGAAGAAGAATCTTTCAGTGCCCTAAGCATGTTAAAATGCCACACAAACAATAGAAAAGCGACCTTTTGAATTCGTTTTCAACTCTGATACACTGTGGACTACCTCAGTGCAAACCAGAATAATGACTCCTAATGGCAAACAATGGTGGAAAATGCAATGACTCCTAATGGCAAACAATGGTGGAAACCTCTCGCTCACTGGTTATGGTGGGTCCTCCCAGTATTATGGACTGACCACTCACGGCATCGGGGCACATGGATCACAACGTTGCATCCCATACGTGAGGCCTCCTGGACTTTCCTGCTCTTGTGAGGAGGATGGTGTTCTCCAAGAGATGGGTCACTAAGAGAAACTGGGCCAAGAAATACCCCTAGACATGCAATAGGGCCATCTGCAGTATCTACATTATCTAAGAGCAGTGCAGTACAGGCAGCTCAGAGCATCCTCTGCTTTTTCACCGGTGCCTTTATGAAGTTTTTAAATGGGAAGACGGGCTTTTGGCACTGACTTAACTCAGCAGAGAAGGAACTCTCCAGAAATCCATGGGCTTTCGACACTGACTTAGCGTGGATTTCTGGAGAGTTCCTTCTCTGCTGAGCTGTTGCTTAGGCCGTCACTTAGGCTGAAGGAGCTGTCAGCACTGGTGAGAAGACTGTTGCTTAGGCTGACCCCCCAGCTGAAGGAGCTGTCAGCACTGGTGAGAAGACATCACCACGGTGCTCGCCGCATTGTGACCCTGGTGGCTGAACAGGAGGTCCTCATCCCGTGGCTGTAACATCCATCTTTGCACGCCATATGGCGTAACGGCTCCTAATTAACAGGGGGCACTTGGCTATGTTCACATCTGACTGATCAGAATTCAAACCATTAAATCAGAGCAGCACATTAAAGAGAGAAACACACACAACCCCGTTAGGAACGCCGCGGGGAAGGAGGGCTGGTTCCACAGGGAGTGGAGCTGGAGATGTGTCCTTCACCCGGCAGGTGGATGCTGTGTGTGCAAGCACCCATGGCCACGTGGTACCTACCTGCCCTGGTACTCCCTGCTGTGCATTTTACCCTCTCTTAACTTCCCACCAAGGACAGATCCTACGTGGAGGCACTACCAGAGAGAGAGCTTTGCCCTGAGCTGCGGGGAGGTGAGAGGGAGGAGAAGAGCAGTTCCTGAGGAGCACCGTAGGAAGCAATCCCTGCATGAGTAATGCTGGCCAAAATCACTGCTTCATTTGATGGAAATCATCTGGGGACAATCAATCCGAAGGAAATTCAAAATTCATCAGTGGATTAAGAGTATGGAATAGATGAGCCGCAACGTATTTCGTAATATCATCAGCTGAAAATTAGGTTACAGCACCATAAAGTTAAAACATACACCTCATCAAGCTTCTCCTGGGTGTATTTTTGTACTCAAATAAGTTTTGTGTATACAAAGACATTTAACTAATAGCCTTTAAGCAGATAAATATATGTATTTTACTAAGAGCTCTGGCCAAAGACATAAATTTCAAACAACTTATTGATTTCATAATTTTCATTTGTACTGTCTGTTCTTACCAGACAGAACGATAGATGCAAAGATTTGCATTAAGAAAATATTAAAAAGAATATCTTTATCTCATTAGCTTTAGATAAAAAATACTGACTGATATAATATTAGGAAAATTCACTTAAGCCCCAACTGCTGCTTGTCTTAAAAAAATGCCACAGTGAAACGAGATTAAAAAATAAATACAGCAGACTATAAGAAGTTGTTACAAGAGATTTTACACTGAAAGCATAAACAACCTCAGTACCTGGTCAGAGTGGTAATTTATCACTAATTATGCATCTTTGAGAGCACTTGGGAGAGGCCAGACAGGCAATTACAGAAACCAAAGGGAAAGAGCCACCTCAAAACCCCAGCAGAGAGTCAGAGTTTACAATTTCTAAAAGCAGATTGAAGCACACACTCAAGAATGAGGTACCCTTTCGAAAACTGGGGTTTGACCTGATTTAGCACCTCTATGAGAGAAGACTTCAGTTTTTTCCACAATTTATACTGCACTGAGTTGTACTGATTAACTGCTTGTCTATTATTTAACTTTTAATTTGGAAAAGAAAGAAGATCTGCTCACTTAGCCAAAGTAAACACAATCCTTCTCTGTGAGTACTGTGACAGCTACCAGGGAAGCTTGGAAAAGTTGGAACGGAAACTTTATCTCAGGATTTTTAAAATATTATTATTATTATTTAGAACAAACCTATACATAAGAATTACACAATTTAAAAAAAAAGAGAAAACAATCAGATTTAGCTCATTATCCTTAATATACCCACTATAGGTACCACTTCACACACAGCAGTATTTGGCAAAATTTTTCTTCTTCCTACTCCCATCACTGACCTCAGTTTCTGCCCTTAAGTACATCAGAGAGTGTTGAGAAGGTTGAAGGCCACCCTGGCCAGTCCCTGCAGGACAATGCGCAGTGGATGGCATCTGTCCCTCAACTGCAACACAAACAACCCAGATACTGGGACAAACTCTGACCCACCTTCATGTCATTTAGCTTTACAATTCTGTAAGAGTCAAAGGGAGATAAAGATAGGTCACAAAAATATTCAGTTGCTCCTGCCCTTCCCTCCTTCATGTTAAACAATGAAATAATAATAATACTTATTATTATTATAATAAAGCACTATTTTAACCCAAAGCTTATCACCAAGATTAAATTCCAAACAATTTCTCCTAGGACCTTACCTGTGGTTTTACCTAAAGTGTTTAGGAAAGGGTTGTTCAGAGCAGCAGGAGCCAAGCAAGAATCAGATGACATCACTCAGCTCCAACCAAAGATTTCGGAGGACGATATAATAACCAGGTAGATTTACCCATTAGCCCTATGAATTATATTTAAAGTGACCTTTTCTTTCTTTTCCATCTCACAGGAAAGAATGAGTATTCACGCCCACCAACCCCCACACACCCACTCCCATTTAAAAAGGAGCTGAATGAAACCTTTGACTAATACAAAAATCTCAAGTGCGAGCTGTTTTTCCAATTCATGTTCCTCCCTTGCTATCATTTCCCTGTCATTGTTTTATTTCGCTCAGCCTCTACATCGTTTGAAGAATGTGCCACACTCTGTAATTAAATTTTAGCTCTGTGAAGAAAGAGGAGGATGGGGGGGGGTGAAAAACCTATAGGTAGGTATCTCCCCCAGGCTCCCATGGGGAGCAGGTGCAGTTGAAACTGCATCCATTTTCACAGCCCGTGTTCTCCACTTCAGATTTAAAACACCATTTCTAGACAATTCTAATTTTGCAAACTGATAAGAAAATGCATTAATAGATCTCTTTGGTAGCTAAGTCCTAAGGGGAAAAAGTGGTGGAATTCTTAGGGGTGGGGGTGGTGTATCAAAAAATATAATAAATAAATCACTGCTCTGTTTT